TGTGGCACCATCTTTTTAATAGGCCACTTCCCCCCACCATGTGGTGGGCGGCGGGCCGTGTGATCAAGTTAAAAGAGACTTTCACAATACTTTTTTTTATTTTTTTAGGTGGTGATTCATCTTTATTGGTGTTTAGTTGTGATTTGCTCCAATAAGTGATCAATTTCTCCACCACTAACCTCCTTGATGTTAATCGGGGCCTTTGAAGCGTCACCCACCATCTAGCAGCTGTGTGAACAGACCCGAGTTCCTTTTGACATTTTTGAGCAAACTGTTGGAAAGAACTACACGAGACAGAGCAGAGCGACAGTGAAGGCATATCTCTGTTTGTCCTCAGGGTCACTGATCTCAGGATCATACTGTATCATATCTCAGCTGACTCCCTCCACATATTTCAGATGTCTGCAGATTTTATCTCCACGAATCATGAAGAATCCCGACATCATTCTTCATAGCGATCACCTCGCTGCAGTTCATACCAGCTCTGCTGATAACGCTGCTTTCACTTGGAAAAAAGACAAGAAACAACTTGTCCTTTGACCTCAAAATAGATAGAAAATAGACTGTATTTGTAAATGAGCCTCTACACTCGTAGTCGGCCAGTGAAACAGTTTATTGTGCATTTAAATGGCATTACTGTAAATGAGACTCTAAGTGTGGCTTTTATATTGTTAGTCTCCTGCTGCTCTGCCCTCGTGTTTCTCCTCTCGAGTTTTTGTTGGGAGGTACTAAAACTTGTGGAGCCATTTTGATGAAATGCAAACACCAAGAGGAGAAGGGCAATGAGGGACAGGTGAACTCAATCAGACACTAACGAGGGAAGGAAAGAGAACAAAGGAGGGAAGGAAACACTGACAGCCACATGAAGATCGAACTTTTTTCAGGCAAACAATTTTTACTGCAGCAGTGCAAAAAACAATGAATGGACACATTAAAGACGTTGACTCATGGCAAAGAAAACAAAGTGGAAACAGATCACTTTCTTGTGTGAACCAGTCCCCAAAAAATCCACACAAATCCCAAGTTTTTTAAGAAAAGAAGAAATGCTGTCAGCACAAACTATGGTGAAAGCCACCCCTAAGCTTTAGGCTTTAGCTGGATTGAGGATGTCAACAGCCCTCAGCCCGACTGCATCATCTATCAGAGGTTGGCTAATGCTAACATGGTGGGCACTTAAAAAACAAAGATCCCCTTTAAAAGGAACCAGAGGCAACAAGACTGTTTGGTGGAATGTGGTCTTAAAACGTGATAAAGGTACAATGTGTGCTTAAAACAATGAAGGTGCGATGCTAGGTCCAGATGCTGCAGATGTGCCATAAAAAGTGTTAAAGAAGAAGAAAGACTATTGTGAAGCTGTTTATGGATACACGCACTTGGACACAACTCAGGTCTGAGGCTGTCACATTCTCACATCAGTCCAGGCTTCAGTCAGTCTGAGTCTGTGATGACTTTTCCTGAGCCTCTGCTGCAGCTGACCGTCTGTATGTGCCGATGTGGGTTTGGCTGGTCGGCTGTTTGGCTGCAGATTAGCGGTTTGCCAGCTGCTGCAGCTTTGAAGTGAACTGAATGGAGTCAGTCAGGTCAGAAACGCACTGCAGGTGTCGGTAACAGCACTGCATGCCGTGAGGTCAACAGAGGTCATGTCCACACTGGCGCAGTGAGCGACGCTGAAGCCGGCACACTGTAAACAACCAATGCTCACATGTCAGCGACCCCGAATGGTCCGACAAGGAGAGCTTTCACTTCAGTTTCTGCTCACAAATGATGACAGAGTTTAAATGGATATGGCTGTTGTTGTTCATTTAAGCCAACCCAGCCTCTGCAGTGATACTACTGCTCGCGGCAGTGTGCCGAGAGCTGAGCTGTCCTTTGGAGAACACTCAGGGGAAATGTGAGCAAGTAGTGGGCGATCCATAGAAGTGCCACTGAAAACAATCCAGAAGTGCACATGAAGATGACCTTGAGTGTTTTTAAAGCAGATATGCACGGACCTGTTCTTAGGAACCAGCCTTAAACCTGTGATGCCCACAACCATCTGTGTTTAGCAGCTACTAACAATTATTTTAGTCATTTCTTTTGGTCGAGTTGTCTTTAA